TTGACCGTAGCCGTAACTTGAGAAAACTTGAGAAAATGGACCCTGGCTAGGCGAATGGCTTCTCATACTAAGATATGAGTAGACCATGGTTTTTGAGGAGATGAAGAGCATTTTTTAGCATTAATTAACAGAAAAAAAAGATCCTCATTTGCTTGCTTAGAATTAACAACAATAGCCAACAATAATGCACGATTTTATAATTTGCTCGACTCGAGTTTCGCTGAGATATTGGAGTAGAAATACTAGATGTGAGTGGTCACCTCATTAACAGAATGAATATCTTAAGAGCTTATTTATTTATCAAATTGTGGCCTCGTATCAAATTTTTTACTATTAGAATTTAGGGGTACCTAAGTGAATAAAGAGTGATTATTATATTATTAACTTCGCAAATTCTTGGCTTCATCATTAACTTGGAGGGCCAATGCCTATCGTAAAGAAGAAAAAGAACACAAAGAAGGCGTAGAAATAAAAAAAGATGGTAAAGCATGATAATTACCCTCCTTATTTTGGAAAACCACGACTCACTCTCATTTATTTTGAAGTCATCGGCAGTAGAGAACCAAATAAAACGGGGTGAGTATAATACTCCGAGACGAGACTTTTACCGTGTCGGAAGCGGGACCACCAAGCCTCTCGAGTCCTTCTCATTCCTTTTCTTTCGTAACAAAGGGACCCATTTTCCTCTTTTCGTTAATTTTTTGGGTTATTTTCATATATACCTCTTAAATTATAGATATTTACAAAAATATTTTTATATCTTAATATTTACAAAATTACCCTTCAAATCATCGTCTTTGTTAAAAAATAGCCCTTGAATCAACAAATCATCAAGACGGTGCTAAAAGTTTGACTATTTTATTGATAAAGTTTACATTATGATTATAAATTAGTTTATCAAAGCTGACAATTGATTACACGGAGGGTAATTTTCTTCAAAATTGATGATTGATGGTCCATAGTCTTGTAAACAAAATACCCATGATGATGTAAGGGGTATGCATGTAAATGGACCCTTATTTTTTTAATTTATTTAATATTTTTTTCCTTAATAAAACTCCTAAAGCGATCAATCCACCAAACACGACCTTGCTCCTCACAAGAAATCAAAAATCATTACTAGAGAATTCTAATTCCTAGGGTTTCACTCACCAACCTCCCCCCCTTTGACATTGCAGAGAGCACTGAATCTCCAACCCGGGAGAAATTAGGGTTTCTCGAAGAAGGGGATGAAGGTTTTGGTGGGGAGCCCTGGGACAGTGAGCGGATTGGCGCTGAGATTGGGGCAATGTCTCTTCGCTGGGGCTTCGATTGGGGTCATGGTGTCTGCTCTAGGGTTTTCCAACTATACTGCGTTCTGGTAACAGGAATTCCCCTCTTCCGCTTCTAAAGTTTTCTTCTTGTTTCGGTTTCTAGCGTTCTTGGTTTGGATTGTGAGGTAGCTTTGATCTGGGTAGGGATAATTTTGGGAATCCGGAAGGGGCAAAGCAGCGGTATCATCAAAATTTCATCTTGGTGATGTTAGCAGAAAGAGTTTTTTTAAAATAAACGAGGGCAGTGTAAAAGAAGAATGTGTTCATGGAGCTCATTAGCCAATGCTTCTATAAATTTGTTAGAGGGAACTGTATGTATACCATGAAAGAGGTGTGAGCTGGCACGTTTAGGATGAATTAGGCAATCTAATAAGAACAGATGCTAAATTCTGAGGTTTTTACTGGGGCAAAAAAAAAAAAAAAAAAAAAAAAAAAAACCCTCTTCAAGGGATCACTGCTGCTGTTAAGACTGATTAACCTGTGAAGGCAGAAGAAAACTTTGGGGACCCTATTGCGTAAAATTATTTCCAGAGGAAGTCTCTCCAAGAAGTATAAATTCATGCCCGCTTTTAGCATGAGGAAGAACATGCGTTTTGAAATCAATAATAGAAAATGAAAAAGGACTAAGGAGGAACCATATTGATAATTGCATAAAACCCGCATTATTTTGTAATTTTTGTTGATAATCCTGTGATATTGAAGTGTCACGTGGATTGCTGAATGGCATTGGACATACAACTTGCCCTCAACATTGATCCGGTATTTCCAATTTGGTGCTCTTCTTGGGTCTATTCAACTAGAGAATTTACCTACATCTCAATCCATCTTCTTGTGTTGGGAAACATAGTTGAATTAAAATAGCAACAGGAGTTAATGATCTTGCTAGATGGTGGAGAAAAGCCATCAGAACCAAGAATGCCATTGATTTGAAGCAAATTGCACAGTATGAATGAAATCAAGATAGGACTTTCTGCACGAAACTTGATTTAGTTCCTCATATGAAACTGTCAAATCCCAAACCATGCATTTGTCTTATGTTTCACAATGAGGTGTTTTAAAAACCTCCCGCTGATCGTCTTCAAAGCCAGAACTAGTGGTAGACATCACTATTTGCATCCATCAATATACCTATTAATATTTCCCTATTTTCTCTATATGATTAAGCCAAGTAGCATGCTAAAGCAACAAGAGGGCTACACTGTTCAGCCTGACAGTGGTCTTACTTTTCTCATCTATTAAGAAAAGTTGACCATGACTTGAGTTTCCATATTGTATGAAATATATGCATAGTACTATTGCATGCTAAAATAGTGTCTTGTACATGCAGCTACTTGATTGCTTCCATGGGACTACAAGTATTATGGAGTTTGGGTCTCGCCTGTCTTGATGTCTACGCTCTAAGGATAAAGAGAGATCTTCACAATCCTGTTTTAGTGAGTTTGTTCGTGGTTGGGGACTGGGTAATTATGTTAAATTCTTTACTTTTTATTCAGAGAGTTGGCTGACTTTTTTATTGATCGGGCATACTTGCATGCCTAAGTATCATTTGTGTGGTAATGTTCATGTTTCTTCTCTTATAATCAAGACCATGCTAACTTTTCTGAATCACATTCCTGCATTGCTTGTAAGTTGTATGTGACTCCCTTTCTTGTGGTTAAATTGACTTTCTTATACTTAAGCTACATGATCCTGATCTGTATTTCTCCTTGTGCTGCAATTCCCTTTTCTTATAGCTTGATTGGAGTAGAACTTTCTTAATCTAGGCCCATTAAAAAAAAAAAACCACAGAAAAAAAGAAGACACACAGTCTTGCATGCATAGGGCATGTAAGTATCCTACTAAGCACCTGATAAGGGGGGAAATGACGACGGAGGTAAAAGTTTATAAGATGCATGTTATCCAACACTTACGCTTCTAAGACTGCAACTTGATTCCAGCTAACCGACTAACATTTTAGAATCACCAAAATTGTTGAAACTGATACGAGGGGAAGTGGCTTGATTTCAACGAGAGAGATTTGAGTTTTATTAGGAAAGCAAATAATTACGACTTACATAATCTGGCCATTGGAGTTATTTATTTTTTCAGTGACAATGCATCATTATATTTGGTTATACTTTCCCTCTTTTGTGGTCATTGAAGCACTTTATCCATTCCAGGTAACAGCAACTCTGTCGCTTGCTGCAGCATGCTCTTCTGCAGGTGTGACAGTTCTGTTTATAAGGGATGTAGATTTCTGCAGGACATATACTCAGATTGCATGCGGTATGTATGAGATCTCCATTGTCCTGGCTTTCATTACGTGGCTGTTCATTGCCATGTCTTCTGTTGTCATGTTTTGGCTGCTTGCCTCAGTTTGACTCTATTTGTCTACTCTGTGTTGTGTATTATTACTCTGTCCAGTGAAGAACGCTACATTCACTTTAGTTTTAATGATCGAAGCCGTTGGCATTGCAAAATACAAATTCTGTTGCTCGAGTGTTCAAAAGGTTTCAAGGTTTTGTTTATTGACTTAAGTGGTGTAAGTGAAACATGTTTATATATGAATTGTGGTATCGTCAATACTATCTAACAACTTTGTTAATAGTCGAAATGATGAACATCATTCATTCTGATGATGGTATGTTGAAATGACCGAAATATTACTTAAATCGAGACACACAAGGAAAAAAAAAAGAAAAAAAAGAAAAGAAAAAGAACTTGTGTCTAGCCGTAGGGCTGTTGAAGTAGGTACCACGTGTGTTTCGGAACTTTGCCAGATTCAGATGATTATTATTTGAGCCCAACTGTCACATGGGTGATATAAAAGGACATCTCCTTAGCTTTTTAACACATCATATAAGGTGTAGATCTTCAAAATTCTATCATTAAGGTTGCCTCATGAATTCATTGTGAATTTCAAATGCAGCAGTCGTTTCTCTTTCCTTTGGCTTGATAATGTTCACCGATCCAAGTGATTGTGGGTTATGCTTCCGTTACGGGTATCTTTGTTTGATTATGCCATTTACTTTTGAGCTCCAAAATCTATTGTTCATATCAACATGCAAAATGTAGGGCTATAGCAGTATTTCCACCTTTGCTGGTGACTTTAGCATGTACTTGTTCTTCTATCAGCAGTATCTCCGCCTTGGTTTTTGCAAAATTGTACTTGTACCATATACTGCTGGTTGTTCTATCAGGGCATGGCCTTCGGAAGATTGTTTTGTGAGAGTATCATTGTAGGTTGTCAAAAAAATCATAACAGATAGCTTATCCCCATCAAACATTAACAAGAAGAGTTACAATTCAACGACTTCCAGAATGCTACAATTTAAAGACTTTCACGTAGATCGATGAATGTTACAAATCGACGACCTTCACGACAACCGATGAAAGCTCTGTTCAATGGTCTTCACAACCAATAATAAGAGTTGCAATTTAACAACTCTCACATTTCAAATAACTAAAGCAAAAATTGCAAAACAACGATCGTCGCGACGCTCTGACAAAAGAGATTACAAGTCAACGATCTCTTCAATCCAAGACGCATAACTCATCCCTACATCTCAGAGGTGAAACACAAGTGATTGCGTCCTAGAGTCAAAGCAATACAATTACTGCATTCTCAGCTATCAATGCAACTCAAACACAACACAGACACAGTGTTTTCAGCCGCTAAACAAAGTACCAAAGCAGCTTCCAGGCGCTGCGTTTACCATCGCGAACACGCCACAATCACAGACGCATACGCAGCTTAAGCCCACAAACGCAGTTCATGCCCAGAACGCAAATCAAGACGTTTGACTTGTTTAAACATGAGTTGAACGGTTCCGAAACCGTTTCTCACGATTTGTGACGGTTACACCCCACTTAGGAGTGATTTAAGGGGCGGTTACATCCCTTTAATCCCTTATAAATAAGAGTAAACTCAACCGAGTTAGGGGTTGGAATTTTTAGGATCAGAAACGGCCTGAAGGGATCGACATTATTCCTCAACGGAGATCATCGTCAACTTCAACAACGAGGAGCTCGTTCTTGGCTATAACTGACTTCGGTTCAAATCAACTCTTTTACAAGAGTTTAAACTCGCTCTGAGTTCCTAAACTCGTTAAGAGTTAATTTTAAACTTGCTTTGCAAGTTCTTCACAGCGTCAAATCGTGAGGAGAAGATACCGTTCAAGTGAAGCGAGGTGTTCGGATCGTCAACGAGAAGCAAACTCGACGTGAGTTTCAAGGGAGGCATCTCATCGACACCAAGAAGAACCAAGGTTAAACAAAGGGGAAGATCTCCGTCGACCATTTTCTCTTTTGTAAATCGGGAAACCGATATAAAAAGATTGTAATTTCTTTTTCTAAGTCTGTTAGAGAGAAATTTTATCGAGAGAATTGTGATTAATTCTTTTTCTGAGTCTGTCAAAGAGAATAAAACAAATTCAATTCTCAATTTTCTTCTTCCAAGTTTCCCTCCAAACAATCCTAGAGAAAATATTTAGATGCATCTCTTTGTTTGGCTACTTGGTGAATATCTTTCTTGAAATTCTGGTGTGCGAAACGCGATTCAATAACAAATGTTGGCTTCTGTATCAAGGGAAAAATGTGTCCAGACCCCAAAAATAAAAATTTCATGTGCTGCAGCCCCTCTTAGTTTCCCCCATGTGATTCAGCCCCTTGAAGTGTGACACTTTGTACTGCAGCCCCTTTTTAGCAATTATTACAGGCCAGCTAAGCTAAAATTTCCAAAATAACATTATCTCATCTCTTCAATCCCTCAAACTCAGCACTCTCATCTCCATATGTTAGTTCTAGCTAGTTGAGCAAGTTAGAACTAACAATATTCGAAGCGATATAACGAGAGATAGAAAATGAGCCCAAGTGAAAGGAAGATACCGTGTGATAGACAATATAAAGGGCTACACACCGGCGAAGACGGTGGTGAAAACGGAGACCGGAGGCGGCCGGAAAACGCGCGCGAAGTCGGTACGGCGCTGCTATTTTCTGCTCGCTGCTGCCGTCGAGCGATGTTTCGGACGTTACCGAGAGAGATAGAGACCGAGTTAGAGCATGGTACAAATTGGAGGTGATAGGCAACATGTAGGGCTAGTCAACAAAGAAGAAATCGGCGGAAACGGAAATTGGAGGTGATCGAAAAATGCGTGCGAAGTCGGCACAAAACTACAGTTTTCTGCAGTGCAATTTCTCGCCGTTCGGGTTTGTTCTTCGCTGTTTGGAGCTTTTCGCCGTTGTCCAGGCTTGTCGGAGGTGGGAGGAGGTTGTCGGGGTCGTCGGGGTGTCTCGGTGGGCTCCGCCGGATGTGGGAGGAGCTTTTTCTCAAGTTAGTTCTAGGTTCTTAGGCTCTCGAGTTAGTTCTAATTTGCCACATGTTAGTTCTAACACGCCCTATGTTAGTTCTAGCACGCCCCGTGTAACTTCTAGCTAGTTCTAGCTCTAATTCATCTTAGTTCTAGGCTCTTGGGCTCTCATGTTAGTTCTAATTTGCCTCATGTTAGTTCTAATTCGCCCCATGTTAGTTCTAGCCCGCCCCATGTTAGTTCTAACTTGCTCCATGTTAGTTCTAACTTGCCCCATGTTAGTTCTAACTTTTCCCATGTTAGTTCTAGCCCGTCCCATGTTAGTTCTAGTCCGTCCCATGTTAGTTCTAGCAAGTTGGCCAAGTTAGAACTAATAATATTCGAAGCGATATAACGAGAGATAGAAAATGAGCCCAAGTGAAAGGAAGATACCGTGTGATAGACAATATAACGGGCTACACACCAGCGAAGACGATGGTGAAAACAGAGACCGGAGGTGGCCGGAAAACGCGCGCGAAGTCGGCACGACGCTGCTATTTTCTGCTCGCTGCTACCGTCGATCGATGTTTCGGACGTTACCGAGAGAGATAGAGACTGAGTTAGAGCGTGATACAAATTGGAGGTGATAGACAACATGTAGGGCTAGTCAACAAAGAAGAAATCAGCGGAAACGAAGATTGGAGGTGATTGGAAAGTGCGTGCGAAGTCGGCACAAAACTGTAGTTTTCTGCAGTGCAATTTCCCGCCGTTCGGGTTTGTTCTTCGCAGTTCGGAGCTTTTTGCCGTTGTCCGGGCTTGCCGGAGGTGGGAGGAGGTTGTCGGAGTCGTCGGGGTGTCTCGGTGGGCTCCGCCGGAGGTGGGAGGAGCTTTTTCTCAAGTTAGTTCTAGGTTCTTGGGCTCTCAAGTTAGTTCTAATTTGCTCCATGTTAGTTCTAACTCGCCCCATGTTAGTTCTAGCACGTCCCATGTTAGTTCTAGCTAGTTCTAGTTCTAATTCATCTTAGTTCTAGGCTCTTGGGCTTTCAAGTTAGTTCTAACTTGCCCCATGTTAGTTCTAATTTGCCTCACGTTAGTTCTAATTCGCCCCATGTTAGTTCTGGCTCGTTCCATGTTAGTTCTAACTTGCCTCATGTTAGTTCTAACTTGCCCCATATTAGTTCTAACTTTCTCCATGTTAGTTCTAGCCCGTCCCATGTTAGTTCTAGCTAGTTGGGCAAGTTAGAACTAACAATATTCGAAGCAATATAACGAGAGATAGAAAATGAGCCCAAGTAAAAGAAAGATACCGTGTGATAGATAATATAAAAGGGCTACACACCGGCGAAGACGGTGGTAAAAACGGAGACCGGAGGTGGCCGAAAAACGCGCGCGAAGTCGGCACGATGCTGCTATTTTCTGCTCGCTGCTACCGTCGAGCGATATTTCGGACGTTACCGAGAGAGATAGAGACTGAGTTAGAGCGTGATACAAATTGGAGGTGATAGGCAACATGTAGGGCTAGTCAACAAAGAAGAAATCGGCGGAAACGGAGATTGGAGGTGATCGAAAAGTGCGTGCGAAGTTGGCACAAAACTGTAGTTTTCTGCAGTGCAATTTCTCACCATTCGGGTTTGTTCTTTACTGTTTGGAGCTTTTCGCCGCTGTCCGGGCTTGCCGGAGGTGGGAGGAGGTTGTCGGGGTCGTCGGGGTGTCTCGGTGGGCTCCCCTGGAGGTGGGAGTGTAGGCGTCAAAAAATGCCTATAGGTGTCCGTACACAGCTTGAGACATAGAGAAGACAACGAACATCATTATCCGAGTCTAAGAGGATTATCTGACGCCGACAAGCGCCTGAAGCAAAACGGCGAATCAAGTGACCTACACGCTCGACAGTCAGCTCGTGCGCGCCAATCAGCTCGCATGCGTCAATCAACATGCGCGCGTCAATCAGTTCATGCGCGTCGATCAACACGCGCGTGACAATCAGTTCGTGCACGTCGATCAACACGCGAATCAACACGCGTTCGACGGTCAATTCCGTAACGAAGCGTACAAGTCAACAAGACAATCAATTACGCAAAACGGTAGAAAATACAAGTCCCGGAAAGACCAGAAAACACCAGAGCTCAGCAAAAATTCGAAACACCGCGTCCGCGCGGGTCGGACCGCGTCGACCCGCGCCCGCGCGGGTCGGCCAAGTCCGACCCGCGCCCGCGCAGGTCGGATCCATCCGACCCGCGCAAGCGCGGGTCAGACTTGCCCCCGCGCGCTACTTCAACCCATGTTCGGTTTTTTGACGGTTT